ATTCATTGGATTACAGACCAAACAAAATAACAGGTTCAAGCAGCCATTGTTGTCCATTTAATTCTCAACTAAGCTCATACTTGCTAAGCAAAATAAGCAGCCATAAGTTTATATATCAAGCAAAATAAGAGGGTTGCACGACATTACAGACCATACAAATGAGTTGCTTGAACTACAAATTCAAATCTAGAAGTTTTCTCTTGCTTCTAGTGTATGCAGCAGGGCTTTGCTTTAGAGGGTTCTTGCTTCAAGTCCCCATTACTGGACTATCTGTTGATGCTGTAACTTGCTGCTGCTTCTTTTTCCCTTGTGCCTTTGCCTTCCTTTTACCCTTTTTCTCTACTATAGGCATGGATGTGGCAGCTGGCGGTGTGGTTTCACCTAAAGTGAACAAAGGGTACTCAATGGAAAGTGTCTCAGGTTGGTTTGAGCCACTACCAGACCTGCATGTGAGTGAGTTTTACACTTTTAGAAAATAATATTGAGAATGCTATAATTAAGAACAAATGACATTGGATATTGGGCACATACTTGAGAGAGTTTCCAGAATCTAAGATAAGCGAGGCATTTTGGCTGTAATACAAAAAATGAAATGCATTTTTTAGAAAAATAATCAGAATTAAAATTTCAGATCTCTAAGTATATGGAGACATACCTAGGAGGAAAATGCATTGTTTTGGGTCCTGGGTCAGCTGGGACAATGCTACTATCACATTCAGTTGTTTTCTTCCTTCTTTTTGGTGGCCCCCTGCATGAACATAAACATCAATGAGATCTCAAAAGGAAGCAATATGAAATCAATAACAAGTCAAACTAAGTAAAGATTAGAATGCTTACTTCTCAGCTAGCATAGCTGCTATATCCTTAGGGTCACCATCCTTGCAGTTATACCAGCGGTGTCCATAATCCTTGCAAATGGGGCATTGATGTGACCCTTTCTTCTTTGTTGTGCTGCCATTAGCCTCTGTACATCCTTTGGCTCTCTTGTTCTGCCTTCTACCAGATGTAGATTTTATAAGTGGTGGATGCATAAAGTAACCATGGTCAGATTGTGGCCATTGAGATTTGTCAGGCATAGATGGAGTGCTTGGGATATCAAGCACCTCTGCATTTTGTTGAGTATAACTCTCAGGGATAGAAACAACATCCGTGGGCTCACTGTAAGTAATCGTCATGCGAACTTCCTTGCTATCAACATGTTTGTTGAACATTGCAAGAAGCTCTTGATCTGTTGTGACTTGTGGGAAATTCTTTTGGACCTCATCATAGTAAAAAACAGATACTATTTCAATATAGCTATGAGGGTATGCATCCACAATTGTTTCCACAAGATCCTTAAAGTTGCATAGATCAGAATCGACAACCTTGGTGATATGAAAGCATGAAAATTCTTTCCTACGCTTTTTAGGATTTCCAGTGAGTCTGATTTTCAGTAGGTAAGTGGACTTAGGGTCCATCCTATGAATGCAAAACTATGCAAACACAATAAAGTGTAGTCGTATGTACTTAAATGTGAAGAACTAAAAACAGCATACGAAGCACTTACCCTGCAGGAAGCCAAGATGTGTCGGGGACTTGCCCCGGCATTCCCATGCGTCCCTCTTGTCTCCTCAATCCATATCCAGAGGGCGTCGCGTCAGTAGTTGATTTGTCTCAACTGCTTGCTCTTCTGTGTGAGAATTATAAATTGACAGATACGCACGCACAATTATCTTTAAAGAGAAAATGTCATCACAGCTGGGTAAAAAGTTGCACAGTTAATAAAACACTGCAATAGTAAAAGCAGCAAAAGAATCAACGTACTTCATCCATCCAACATTCAAAATGCGTACCAAATTACAAGAGATTCTTGGTGAAGTAACACATATAACTCAGTTTAAAAAGGTAGCATTAACACATCACAACCCAAACATGGAACTCATAATAATTTCAGAGGGTTACAAGCATCATTTGCTTTACTCCACGTTATATATTCTAGAATTCCTAGGATACCAGTAGTAAATAAAGGATAACCAGACGCTACAAGCATCAGCTGTGTGAAAAACAAGTAAAATAGTAAGGGGTGTAGCATAGAGCGAGCATCCAACCGTACAAGCACAAAGTTGACTTTTGGCAGCAGCAAGCAACAAACCATTTATGCTTCACCTAATCCAATAAGTGCTGACATTGTAATTTGACATCAATGCTATATCTACAAAGGACCAGCAGGCATTTGAGTTGCAACTTCTAATTAGGGAACAAATCGACACACACTTCAGTAGTTTAGTTTGAACTAGGAAATCTGAATACTATGTACTGACCGTTAGCCGTGCTTGTTGGCCTGACTGGTACTGCTCGGTGAAGAAGGGGAGGAGCCTAGGACCTAGGAGTAGCGCACGACGCCGGCCTTCTGTGTTCCTGCCTGCTGCCGCGCTGTGTGCTACTTACTGGATAGTGGATCTCTAGCACTGGCGCACCGCCTGCTAGCGGAGGGAAACGAGGTCCATGGAGGTGGAGGCGTGGCCCGTGGAGGCTGGAGCGCCGCGCCCCAGGCGGCCCGGTGGCCAGCGCCTGCGTGCTGCACGACGAATGGCGCGCCCAGAGCGCCCACCTGGAAGCCGGCACCCGCTGCGGTGGGGACGGCGGACCCAGAAGCTAGAGCGGCCGCCGCCTGGCACCCAGAGCCTCACACGTCACGGACAGGGCCGCCGCGTCGGGCGGTGTAAGAGGCGGGCGTCGCGTCGGGCAGGGTCGGAGGGGATCTAGGGTTCTAGGGTTCTAGCTCGAGAAGATTTGGGACGAGGGAGCAGACCACTCGTGGTCTCTGTTTTCATCCTCAGGAAGAAGAGGGTAAAATTGGTACAGCACTTACGTCGCCGTTCCGTTATCTCAGTGGCAATGGAGGGAAAAAATATATGTATGAATGGCGATCAAGTGAACGAAGTCTGTGTTGTCCTGCAATGACAGGGAAAGGATTTAAAATTGAGAATGGATGGCAGCGAAGGAAACATATAATTTTCGATGGCAATGAAGAAAATGTTATATATTTCGGTGGCAATGAAGGAATTTGCTCAACAAATTTTCGACGTCATTTTACACGATTTTTTCAGGTATCATAACATGTTCGTCAGTTTCAAATTTGCGCATAATTTCTAAACTTCCCGCATACGTATACAGTATGAGCATACATCACGACGCACGTACATACAGGGATGCGTCAACCATTGTAGTAGCCACGGTAGGCAGCGCGTGAGGTCAGGCAGCAGCCCGCAGCTGCAGCTCCTCGCCACGGACTCCGCGCGCCCGCCGTCGCCCTCTCCCTCTCCTGCGCCGCGGCACTGCTCCGCCGCCGGCCGGCACCAGGCACCAGGCACCGCGGGTGACCGGTACCGCCACGCGCCCAGGGGCCGCCCACAGGCCTCACACCCCGCCGACGCCGCCGCATGCTTCCCCTGCTTCGGCTCGCCGTCCCCGTCCAGCTCCGGCGCCGTCGCCGGCGGCGACGCAACACGGACCAGCCACGCCTCGTGTCCGCCGCCCGGGTGCGCGGGGCCACGGGGCCGACGCCGGCATCCGCGCGCACAGCGGGTGCACGGCGACCCCGCACGCGGCGCCTTCGCCTTCGCCCGTGGCGGCCTCGCGCCGCCTCAGCCTGTGCTGCGGGTGCACGGCGGACTTGAGCGTCCTCGGGAACCGACGCGGCGCGCACGCCTCGTGGATCGTGAAGCCGCACCCCGGGTGCGCGCACCGGTACCGTGGGCCGGCGCCGGCGACCAGGCAGCCGCCGCAGGTGAATTCGTCGCCATCGTTGCTGTCGGTGGCACCGGGGAGCAGCCGATGCGCTGGGTCGTGGGCGAAGTATGCTCGTTGGTCATCACATTTTGTGGAAAAATGTAGCGGGTTGGTAGGTACTCATTGGGGCTCACTCCATTTGTCCCGAAGCACGAGTTGGACTAGCGCAGAAAGGAATTGGCAGCCTGACAGTGATCCCCTGATAACCATTCAAGATTCCTCTGTCATTCCAGTGACAAATTATATTTAAAATAAAATTTGTCGCAGTGAACAAGGAAAAATACTTTCTTTTTCTTTTTAATTTTCTGACCGGACGCTTGCAGTTATTGTTAACTGACCAGGAATGGACTTCGTTGAAATTGGCGTCGTTACTACTGGTCGTAGATCGTATCTATAGCACTGATTTTATATTGATAGAAAACGAAGTTTTCAACTAGGACAAAACTAAACTTATATATACAGTGTAACAGTGAATAAAAATAGCTTCAGAAAATGACCGTGAGAAGGGACCAGGATGGAGATTCATCCAAACATCTAGCCTATAATGCAACTCTGCTGCCTATTCTTCACCGCTTCCATATATACATCGCAGCACAACGTGAAACCTTTTTGTGTCAAAAGGTGAACATAGTGAGTAAGTACATAGGCAAATGAAGAGCACCCAGGTTCTAAATGATTTCTAGATCTACCGGTGGCCGGACTACGAGTTTTGATTTCAAACCAAGAAAAAAATCACAAAAAAAAGCCCACCACGATGGATGGACTGGATGGACTGGACCCAGGATGGGCCGGACGTCTTCGGGTTGGCCTTCCTTGCGTGACGTGGTCTGGACGCGGACGGCCCATCCGGCTTGCTCGTGCTCCCGCCATCACCATCGTCAGGTGCAGTCTCGGTTTTCAGGCGTAACACCGTGATCATCTGCGCTTGTTTACAGTCCTTGGGCCCAGTCTCGGTTTCCAAACGGGCCTGTTCAAGGCGGGCCGAGCAAGCTACATGGACAGCTCCTCCAGCCCACCACGTAAAGCAATGGGGAATTTTCTCGGATAAGGGTGTCTTGCAGTTCTTCCAGACTGCCACGTCGGCCAGCCGACGGCCACTCACTTCGCCTGGCTCCTGCGCTTCCACCCACCCTTGCAGACAAAAACGCGAGCACGACGACGAGCTGAGGATTCATTGAAGACCAGAGGAGGAGGAGGAGGAGGAAGAAGCGTGCAAGCAGTCGGGTCTCATGGCGCCCTTCTCCGTCCTCCGCTCGTCTCCGGTGGTGGCCGCCGCCGCCGCGGCGCCATCGTTCAGCGGCATGTCCAGCCACGGTACGTGTCAGCAGGTCGATCTGCATTATTCCAGTCCATCTTGTGCAGCATCGTGAATGTGAATCTAGCTAGCTGCAGAGTTCAGTTCAAGCTTTCTGTCGTTAGTCTCTGTGCATGTCCATGTCCGATGCCAGTGCTGTGTGCTCATGGCGGATTATGATGAGGGCATTCAGTGGTCCTAGTTGTACAGTCGTAGGGTTTTTTAGATCTCGTTACTCGGTCATTGTTTGTTCATTTGTTGATTCTTGAGATTTTTCGATAAGAAAATGTGTTCTTTGAATTCCTATATCAAGGCTAACATTATGGACGATGAGCATGGCTACTGAATGTTGGCTGTCCTATACTTACTCGTGTGTTCTGAGAAGCACTGTGTCGAATGCAGCATCTGCACTGCGCGTCACCTCCAGCAAGAGCCGCGTCGCCTGCAGGGCCGCCAGCAGGTCGCTGTCCATCAGGTGCGAGCAGAGTGCGAGGCAGGGCAGCGGCGGCGGCGGCGGACCGGACGTATGGCTGGGCCGCGCGGCCATGGTTGGCTTCGCCTCCGCGATCGCCGTCGAGGTGGCCACCGGCAAAGGCTTCCTCCAGGTACGATACGAGTAACACTGACAGCAGCAGCAGCAGTCCGCGCGGTCATTGCAATTGCAATGCTAACATGAAAAGTGCCGCTCGATCGCCTTTAATTTGGTGGGTGCAGAACTTGGGCGTGGCTTCTCCGGCGCCGACGCTGGCGCTCGTCGTGTCGGGGCTCGTCGTCGGCCTCGCCGTCTTCTTCCTTCTCCAGTCAGGAGGCTCGCAAGACTGAGCGAGCATGCATCGAACACCACAGGGTTCAGTGCCTGCCATTGTGACAATTTTTCCTGTACCATGTAATGTAGCAAGCCTTGTTTAGAATGTAAAAAAAATGAAACGATGAATAGTACAACTTTCGTCTTATTTGGTAAATATTGTCCAATCGTGGACCAACTAGGCTCAAAAGATTCATCTCGTGATTTCCAACTAAACTGTGTAATTAGTTATTTTTTTTATCTATATTTAATACTCCATGCAAGCGACTAAAAATTGATGTGATGGAGAGAGAGTGAAAAAACTTAGAATTTGGCCCAACTGACGCTTGATCATCTGCAAAGTACTCCTCGTGTTACGTTCAAACTCTGATGTGTTGGCCGGCAGCCAGAGCAGCTGACTTTGTTGCCTGGGCCACGTTTAGTTGGTGCCTGATTCGGCGCCGCCGGAATTGATGAAGGTACTGTAGGTACAGTATATTTTTGTTTTTATTTGGTAATAATTGTCTCAAATATTGACTAATTAGACTCAAAACGTTCGTCTCGTAAAGTACAACCAAACTGTGCAATTAGTTTTTGATTTCGTCAACATTTAGTACTCCATGCATGTACCGTAAATTTGATATATAGTGCCAAAATTGGGAATTTGGTGGAACTAAACAGGCCCCTGGTGCGCTATATACAGTACGCAGTTGTACGACGAGCCAGGGTTTCTGATTTTCTGTACTACACGGTGCTTGTACGACCGTACTGCTTCTGCCGAGTGAGGAGGGGGCGTTAGGTGCAACCAACCCGGCCGGTGGCCATGGATATCTCAGGCGTTAAGTCCTCTTCCGTTTGTGAAAAAAAAAAACAGATGTTACTGTTTTCAAAAAATCAAATCCGAGACAGATAGAGAGAGACGCACTGTTCATACTCCGTATAAAAAAATCCAACCTTTTTTCACCTCTGAAATACCAAAGTCAAACGGTCCCGAGCAAGAAACCGTGTCGCGGATTCTTTCTTGCCGCCGCAGTGCGGAAGCAACAAATCAACCACCCGTTGGTCCGCCCTGATCGCGCCTCGCGAATAGCCACCCTGCCGTCTGACCTTGTGGTGACAGGTTCCGCAGGCGGCGAGGGGAGGAGGAGATGGACGGGGAGCAGGCGGCGCGGTGGGCGGCGGCTCAGGAGGGGGTCCCCGTCGGGGCGGACCTTGTCGCGGCCGCGCTGCGGCAGCTGCAGTTCCTCGCGGCGGTGGACCGCCGCCGCTGGCTCTACGACGAGGGCCCGCTGCTCGACAGGGCCATACGCAGGTACGGATGATTATTTTTTGCGAAAAAAAAGGTTCTTTGTTTTTCTTCCCCCTTGGCTCAGCTGTTTGGCTCTTGGAGAAAGCAAGGGACGTTTTTAGTGCTTGCTTCATGATTGGTCGTCGACTGTTCATCTTTGCCGGCTCCGGAGCATGATCCATTTAGTGAATCTTTAGGAAACTCATGAGATTGAAAATGCTGGTACATTAATCTTGACTGCAAATTCCTCTTTATTTCTGTAAAGCAACCATCTAGATGAAAATCAATCGAAGAAATCTCTAGTTGGATAGTGGAAAGTAAGGGACCAAGGGCTGCAGGAGGGCAGGTGCCTGAACTTCAGTTTTGGGGGCAGAATTCAGCAGAAGGCTTGAACCAATTGCGTGAATAGTCTTTCTATTTTTTGGCCTTACCAGGAGATATTTACTTGAAAATGATGTGCATGTCACCTAAGAAGTCACTGTCATGTTGAATTACTGATGGTTCCATGATTAATTTTTTTTTCTTGTGCTGGGATACACTCCTGAACTTTCCAATACAGAAAGATTGTGATCTCATTCATGTCCTGAGATATAATACCCATTGACTTTTTTTTGTTTGGTTTTGTTGCTATATGCTAGGTACAAAGCATGCTGGCTTCCCCTTCTTGATAAGCACAGTAAGGCTGCGGTTGTAGATGGGCCATTGGTTGTTCCTCTCGATTGTGAGTGGATTTGGCACTGCCATCGGCTTAACCCGGTACACATCCTTACCACGATGATCCTCTGTAATTCACATGCCCTTCCTGTGCTATGAATGATCTGAACACTGCACCAGACACTGATATATATTATGACTCTACATGGAAATGATTTATAAGAAAACAGCTTGTATGCCTGTACTCTTGTTGATGATGCTATTCACAGAACTGAGGTAACAAATTATTCAAGCACACATCTTTCAGGTTCAGTACATAAGGGACTGCAAGAAAGTATATGGTAGAATACTGAACAATAACAATGTTGAGTCGTCCACTCAAACAAAATCAACACTTCAGTCAGAAAAGATTTGGAAAGAGTTGTATCCTGAGGAGCCTTTCGAATTGGCGTTCACAAGAACCTCTGACATTGCCATGGATGTGAACCTTGGAGCTGCAGAGGACATCACCTATGATCTGGTCTCTGCTGTTAAGAGACAATCCTCTTTCTATTATCAGGTACTTGTACAATCTTTGTTCCAGTATATATGCTGCATACCTATGTGATACAAAATTATCGTTTGACTTATAAATAGTAAATTTTACAATTTTAAGTTATACTTTATATCATTGTACACTGAAAGGCCAACCATTATTTTTGAACAACACACTACAGATGTCCACCTAGATTAATTGACCTAGTTAGTGCAGGTGACAGCTATTGATTTTTTCCATTAGTGGTCCTTACAATAGATAAAATGATGATATGTACAGAAAATCAGAAAGTTTCACTTTCTGGCAGGTTGGAACACCAACAATGCATGATCCACGGTTTCTCCAAGAAGCTCTAGCTCGATACAAGGCATTTCTGTACCTGATCAAGATGAATCAAGAAAAAGGATTGCAACGCTTCCGTGTACCGACCTACGACGTGGATCTCTTGTGGCACACTCACCAGCTGCATCCTGTTACCTACCGCAACGACATGGTGAAGCTTCTTGGAAAAGTTCTGGAACATGATGACACCGATGCTGATCGATCTGAAGGAAAGAAACTCGATGTTGGATTCACCGAGACTACTGAACAGTTTGAGAGTACCTTTGGTGTAAGATACTGGAAGGCTGGATGTATGTACCGTGGCAACATGCCATCTCCTGTGACATCCACTCCTCAGATATTAACTACTGAGGTTGGTACGGGGTCTGACATCTGCAAAGCTCAGAAGGATCTTAATGCCCTTGATATAACAGCTGTAGAGGTATGATTCTCTCTTCTTTATGTAACAGTTATTACAAAAGAAGTACATATCTAGCTTGAATGATCTGATCTGATAGTGAGTTCAAAATGATGCATGTCATACTACTAATGAACGATGACTAAACAGTTGTTTCTGGATACATAACTGAAATGATAATTTCGTAAATTCTGAAGCAAGCAATTCTTCTGCTAAAGTGTCTCTACTAAATTAAGACTTGAACATCTCCTCCTTTGCAGTTATATTTACAAATTGTGGACATCAAGAATTTGCCGTCTGCTGTTCGAAAAGAAAATGTGTATGTACGGTTCACCAAGAATCAATCAGATATGTTTATCAGTGACGGCGGCAGGTTGGATATTTCAACAGTTACAGGGAAGAACACCGGAGTTTGTTTACAGTGTGAACCTACCGGAGAACTCATTCTTGCAGTAATGGTTGATCAGGCATCAAAGAAACCAGAACCAATAGGCAAGGTTTCTTTCCCACTGCACGATTTGATAGGGCCTGATTCTAAGCTCTCCTTCGAGAAGTGGTTTGAACTGAAAACTAATGGTGGGCATGCCACTTCCCCTCCTGTCAGTCTTCGTGTTGCAGCTTCTGCTACTGTCCCAAGCAGCGCTCAGAAGGTGTTCAGCATGGTCAGGATGGAACCTTTCTCTCTCAAGTCGTGTCTTCTGCCACATTCCATCAAGGATCAGAACATGAGCAGCTGGACTCGTTTTGTATATGATTGTGGTACCGAGCTTATCCGTCTTCAGATAAGGTAATTTTCTTCATTTATTATGAAATGAATGGATACTTTATCTGCAACTGAACAGATAGGTAGAACTGTAGGTTAAACAATGTGTTTGATGCTGACTAGTAAGACACATTGTAGTCTACACTGCTGCCGCTATGGCTTTGTCGTCTATTACATCTTCCAAATGAGGTTGAGTATGCAAATATGGAAATCTGTAGTTGCAGTTGGAGGTGATGTTGTTCCTCTTATGAAGAAATATATAACTATTCATTCAGATCAGCCTACAGTTCATTCGACTAGTGGAGGGACTTTAGTTACTGGTATATATTGAACAGTTTGTTTTTATTTCCCAGGTTAAGCAGGATGAGAAAAATTTCCGTACCTGTAAAAAAAAAGAACATTTTTTGTCAATTACTACTAATCTGAATTATGCTAGCAAAAATGAGACTAATGACTCCACTGTATCTCAGAGAGCACAAGGCAAAGAATGGCATGGCTTCTGTTCGAGAATTGGTTGGAGTATTGAAGTCACCAAAAAAGCAATTTCAGCTTGCAGAATTCAAGGAAAATAAGTGGACCCTAAAAGACTCCAACTTGTCAATTAGTCATGGCACTGATGGCAGTCTACTCGATCTCAAAGGTTTCAACCAACTGGTAAGCATGCATAATTCAAGCGCAGTTCACTGTAATGACCACTAGCTAGTATTCATGTAGCAAGCTCAAATTTTTTGTACGTGTTTGAAAAAACCAGATCAAGCTCTATCGAGGAAGGAAACTGGAATACGAGCGCAAATGCTGCAGCGCTCATTCTGAGGATGTTACAGCTGTTACTGCTGTAAAGTTCTGTGCTGAACATCCATATGGCAAAGCTGTTGCCTTGCTAGACACTGAATCTCAGCTTATCATGGTACACTTCTATTTGTCTTGTCATTTGAAACCTGAATTTTCTTTTCTTTTCTTACATTTTTTTTTGCACCAACATAATCATGCTCGTCATTCTTATAGGTGAATGAGGATTGGTTCCTACTTCCATGGATCACGATATCAGTCCTGTTCATGGACGCTGATGACAAGGACAGCGTGAAACTTATCGGTGGTGCCGTGGTTCAGAAGGATGCAGTGTTTGGATCTGACACTAGCATGGTGCTAGACACACAGACCGTCGGAGCAGGGAGCTTGGCAACGGCTCCTGTACAATGTGGCACTTGCAGCACGGCGTTCAGTGGTGACAAAGTCATGACAGCCAGCAAGGCTGAACATGCTAGCTCTGGTGCTTCTCGCACAGTCGTTGCAAGTGGTGAGAACGGCCACACTGAGTCTGCTGCTGGCTGTGGAAGCGGCTGTGGTGGCAACTGTGGACCCATGGTGGCTGAGGACTCCAAGGCCGACAATGCCAAGTCCGGAGGCTGTGGTTCCGGGTGTGGTGGTGTCTGCGGTGGCGGGGGAGGCTGTGGGACCATGCTGAAGGCCAGCACCATGGCCAGCGAGGGCCAGTCCAGGTCTGGAGGCTGCGGTGGTGGCTGTGGTTCCGGCTGTGGTGGTGGCTGTGGCAGCGGCATGGTCATCAAAGGCTCCAAGACCAACACCACCAAGTCCGGCGGCTGTGGCTCCGGCTGTGGTGGTGGTGGATGTGGCACTCTGTTCAACGCTAGCACTGCTGCTGGCCAGGGCCTGCCCAATAAGTCAGCTGGCTGCGGCTCTGGGTGCGGTGGCGGCGGCGGCTGTGGTAGCGGCATGGCCACCGAAGGCTCGAAGACGGCCAGCCACGCTAAGTCTGGTGGCTGCGGCTCCAGCTGCGGAAGCGGTTGTGGAGGAGGCTGCGGCACCCTGTTCAGCTCCAGCACTGCTGCCGACCAAGGCCAGTCCAGATCCGGCGGCGGCTGTGGCTCTGGCTGTGGCGGTGGAGGCTGCGGCAGTGGCAGCATGGTCGCCGAAGGCTCCAACGGTAGGCACGCCAAGTCCGGAGGCTGTGGCTCTGGCTGTGGTGGCGGTTGTGGCGGCGGGGGTGGCTGCGGCACCATATTCAACGCGAGTACCAAGGCTGGCGCTGGCGAGGGCCAGACCTCCGGCGGCTGCAGCTCTGGCTGCGTCGGTGGAGGCTGTGGTGGCAGTTGCGGCACCGCGTTCAACGCATGATCATCCCGGTGTGCCTTGGGAATTGACGTTGTGGCTTGAGCATCCCTCTATAATCAGATATGTAAATAATCAATCAATCAAGTAAATAAATGAAAAACCAATGGATCGGCTGCCTCCGTGGCCTTTCGTCTAGAAAGAAAAACCTTGGTGGTTTTCCGTGCTGCTGCTTAGGTGGAAGTCAGGACTATGGGAATAGGGAACGGCCCCAACCATGCGTGCATCCTACACTGTTTTTAGTTTTTACTCTCTTGCTCCTCCACTATATGAGATTTAAATTTGTTTCAAGTCAAACTATGCAATGTTTCATCAAATTTATAAAAATATATATATTTATGAAATCAAATTAGTGTTATTAATATATTATGAAATATATTTTTTATTTTAGATAATGGAAATAGATCTGGCTTCATCTCTTGTCAACAAGAGAATCATACCACTTATTACAAAAAAAAATGTTTAACCACACAAATGTCCCACTCAAATGTCAATTCTAACATTATTAGGCCATCCAAAGGAAGAAAAAAAAAATCAGTGTCATCGGCACTTAACAAACTTGGAGAATGTGTTCTTTATTGGCTTCACCCCATTAAAATCGTGTCTATTAGCATAGCCTCTAAATATAACCTACAAAAATGTTTTAGGTCGACACTTGTTAAAAACAACTTCGTTCCTTGTAAGTCATATTATCCAGCAAATGGCCGCACATCCTATCATCAACAAGGATTGATTTGAAACTGCCACTTGTTTGTACCACCTGTAAAAAGGATAATGGACATTTTTGCGGGTTTTAAACCTAGTACAAAGAGCACAAGGATTGATTTGAATCCCCCCCCTTGTTTGTACCACGTGTAAAAAAGATAATGGACATCTTTTGGGGTTTCAAAACCAATACAAAGAGCAACAAGGATTAATTTGAAAAAAAAAACTCCTTTTTTGTACCACCTGTAACAAAGATCATGAACATCTTTTAGGGTTTCAAATCTAGTACAAAGTGCACCGCTCTCTAGAGAAATTTAGCATATAAGCAATCAAACAAGATATGTTCAATTGTTTCTCTTGATTATAATATGACATCTTTGATGTGGTGACAAGTTTCGGTCCTCTAGACTGAGGCCACCAGGGAGGGCTGGGAAATCTGATTTGGGCCAAACAACACTGGGCCTAATGAGATGTGGGATAGAAACCAGGCAGGGTTGGCCGCCGCATGCCCACACGAGGCCCTCCCCGAGAGCAGCGGCGGCGGATCCAGCCCTTGTCGCCTTGTCGGTCATCCCCCTTCATTTCTTTAGGAACAATAATATTGACTAGGTAGACTCGCAAACACGAATATCTGTATTTTTATGCAACTCATAAACACCAATGTTTGTATTTTTCTGCAATATCGATATATTATTATGGTTTCTTATTTGTTTACTATATTTTTTATTTTCTTAAATTCTCGTATTGAAATATGTTTGTATTTTTGTCATATATTATCTTCGATACCCAAAAATACTTGATATTTTAGAACTCAACCATACAATACATCATTCTAGATTTTGGACCGTCAGTGGGGCCCATGGTCACGTGCATTAAATCAACACCTCTCACGTCCAACTGTTAGGCTTTGCAACCCTTGAAAATTAGAATAACCAATAGTTAATATGGGCCTCCATAGTCATTTCACATCTTTCTTAGTCTGTCCTAAAAATCCTTAAACGATAACGTTTCTTTGGATAGAGGTAGCAATATATCATTTGAATACACATGCGGTTGCCTTTTATGTTTATCTTTTTACATTGTTTTGTGTTTTTCTGAATAACTGCACGAGTTTGTAATAGCATAGTATGTATGTATGTGGGGGATATTTTTTGTGTAATGAAAGTGATGGGTAACTTTATAAAGATGTGTATTAGCACTTCAAATTTATTTCCTTCAATTAATATGGTTATTTGTAGCTAGGCGGCCTTTCAAAAATAGTGTGGAGACTCGTTTCATTGACCAATTAATAAGCTAATAAGTTGGAATAAATATTAAAAATTCACACCAAGTGTAATTAATAGAAAGACCCGGCAAAAAAGGTGGGTTCAGAAAACTTTCACTTAAAGATCTAGTTTATAAAAAAAAAACCTTTCACAAACACAGTATCTTTAGAAAACTTAACATTAAAAAATTGGGATTGAAGATTAAAAAAAACTATGTTGTTTCTTTAGAAAATGGTCGAAGTAAAACTAGGAATTTGTTTAGGGAAAGTGGCGTCACTACTACACAAACTTTACTGGAGGCGGGCATTTTCGGTTTTTTCATATGGGCAAAGCCGTCCTTGTGACCTAGAGGCCCTGATAAATCGTGGCTTATCAGGCGGGCGGCGGCTTTGCCGGCCGTGTTAATCGATTATCAGCGGGCGAGCGGTGTAACGTGCCCACCGCGGTAAATATACTTTTACCACGGCGGGCACGTTAGGATGTCCGCTGCGGTTAATCATTTTTAAAAAACAAAAAAACTAGGAGCCCGTCGGCGAGCCCGTTCTCGAGCCCACTGGTGAGCCCACCGGCGACGGATCCGGGCTTCCCACGGCCGCCACCACCTCGCCAGTCGCTTGTAGGGGACCACGCCGACGCCTCCTCGCGGATCCCTATGCCTCCTCGCGGATCCCGCCGCGCCGACGCGTCCTCGCCCGCCGTGGTGGAGGTCCCAGCGTCGTGGCCGTGGTGGATCCCGGCGTCGTGGCCGTGGTGGAGATCCACCGTCGGATCCGGTTGCTCCACCGCCAGATCCACGGAGGAGGAGGGTGCAGCCGCCAGATCCGTGGGGGAGGAGGTCGCCGCCGCCGGATCCGTGGAGGAAGAGGTCGCCATCGCCGGATCTAGAGAGAGGAAGAGGGAGGAGTGAGGGAGATGGAGAGAGGAAGAGGGAGATGGAGAGGAAGAGGAGATGAACTCACTTTGGATTTGAAACCCTAGCCCCTGCAAGGCCGTCGTTCATGGAGGATCCGTGGGGGGGAGGAGGAGGGCGCGTCATTGCTGTCGCCCAAGGCCACTGTAGGGGGCGGCGCTATGGAGGAGAGAGAGCTGCGCCAAGGCTAGCGCCTTGCATCGAGGGAGAGTAGTGGGGCGAGAGGGAGAGTGGGGGAGGCGGAGAGAGAGAGAGAGAGAGAGTGGGGGGCGGGGGGAGGCGAGAGAGAGAGAGGGAGGCGGCGGCGATGGTGCGAGGGCCTCGGTTTATATTGGAGATGGCTATTGGGCCTCCACATTTACCGTGGCGGGCATCTTAATATGTCCACCATATGGTAAATCGATTTATCGTGGCGGACACCTTACGATGTCCGCCACGGTAAATAGGGTATTTTACCGCGTGGCGGGCATCTTAATATGTCCGCCATGGTAAATCGATTTACCGTGGCGGACACCTTACGATGTCCGCCACGGTAAATAGGGTATTTACCGTGGCGGACATATTAAGATGCCCGCCACGGTAAATCGAGGCGGACATATTAAGATGCCCGCCACGGTAAATCGATTTACCGTGGCGGGCAAAAGTGCCCGCTGCGGTAAATAAAAAATGCCCGCCGCAGTAAATCGTGGGATTTACCGCAGCGGGCAAAAATAGGTGCCCGCCACGGAGTGCAAAAGTGCAACGCTGCGCATATTCGTTTGTGTAGTAGTGCGTGTAAAGTTTAGTAAGGGGGAAAATGTTTTTAAAAGCTTGGCCGCCTGATCCAGGGCACATCACATCGTTGGGAAGTGCCTGCACATCCCGGACTCGGGCTCCCTGCCATGCATGACTGTTCACCGGGGCGGCGCTGCTCCCATGATCAGTCCATCAGTAGTCCCGTCGACCGTTTGCGTCGACTCGTGTGTTCCCACGGGAAGAGATAGAGAAGAGGGAGGAAGACGGTGGATGTGGCGGTGGCGCCTAATATTAATAAAATATATGCAGCCCGTTCATTTCGAAACGGCTAGATTGACTTATAAGCCATGGCTGAAAGTACTGCTGGCTGGTTTGGTGTGAGAAAAAAAATACTGTTCAAGCCATGGCATATAAGCCAGATACGAGCGTATAAGCCGAAACGAACGTGCTGATGATTTGGAACAAGTGAAAAGGCCAGCTGTTGTACGAATGGTCTATTGAGCTAGTCTCCAAATGATATGGCTTGGCTATAAGGGTTTGGCCTTGCTCTTAGGTGGTGGCAGATTGTCGTCCTGCTATGGCAGGCACAGGCACAGACACAGCAGCACGGATCGTTGCCGTCGCGCACGCACCCCACCCCACCCCAGGGATGGGCACACACGGATGACGGGTCACGGGTAGGGGGTACCACCTCCTCCCCCTCACCATGGAGTTTGAGAGCCGTGCCGTGCGTGTGTTCTCGGAGGCGCGGAATTGCCAGCGCCGGCAGGGCGGCGAGACACGTGACCAGACCTCTCACCTCACCGTCGACCATTTCCATTCCATGCATGGGCCGGGGGCGGTCGGGCGGATGATGCAGTCGTGCGTATTCTTGTATCTGTTGCAGTTTTGCCCTTGGCCGTCGCAGCCAACGCCCGCTGTTTCCTCCCGTTCCACGCACACGTACGTGTCGCGTCGTGTCAGGCCGTTCCGCCGTGCGCGTTTTTTTTTCTTTCTATACTTATATGGCCATATCCGGTTTGTTCGGCTTCTTTTTTTCAGCTGGAACAGTGTTTTTCTCTCACAACATTTCAGTCAAAACAGTATTTTTCAGCCAATTTCAGCCAAGATTCAGCAAGCCCAACGAAGCCACTACTAATAACGAACATGTGCTGCTGATGTGCACCGTTCACGTGAATGGTCCAAAACCCGAGGCGGCAGGGTCTATAGCAAGCAACGCAGCGAGGGCATGTTTGATGGAAGTCTAGAGTACTTGCTGGTAAAAAATGTTGCCTGGAAGTTGTCTGAAAATTCGATGAAATCTGCCTAGCCAGGTAAGGTAGAAGATGTTGCATTTGGTTGGAAGTCTGTACATGGAATGCTAATAAAAGATATAATACCATTTTAAAACATACACGGTTACTGTTAGAATGTACAAACAATAAATAAATAAAACCATCCACATATTTTATTAATTAACAATATATTTGAAATTACAAATAAATTTAATAGTTTTCCTAGCTATTTAAAAAATGTCACAAGGAAAGACGTACGAGGAACAAAGATAATTATAATTACACTGTATACACGATGGTAGTGTAGGTTTATTGGTAGAGAACTGAAAAGAATAACTAATATGTTTCTAAAAAAACGCAATCTGGACTTCTGATTATTTCAGGTTTATTAGTATATGTTTTTTTCGTGGAATTTTGTATACACAATACCAGCTAATACAAAGAATAACAGTAACTAAGGCAACATGTGATTAGATGGGTGATTAGTCTAAGCAAGCCAGCAGCTGCACCCCAGGCAGCCGTTTTCGTGCGCCTGAGCCTGGGGGCTGGACGCGCAGGCCCCGGTGCCGGCTGCCGCTGTACTACGTGCGTCCCGTTGATGCCGAAATTTAGCTTAGGCTGATATTTACGCTGAAATATTACGAGAGGAAAATATTATTTCATGGCTGAAAAGTAATTCTAAATAAGTTCAAATAAACAGGGCCCATGTATTTGACGGCCGTCTGCAACGGCTGCACCGCTCAAGGACCCCGACGCAGCGCAGGTGATGCGATGAAACAAATTGGGGGACCCCTCAGGCCGTCGCGCACCAACTCCAACCTCCACCTTCTTCTCACCTTTTCTCGTCGTCGTACATTATACTCCCTCTATCTCTAATTAATTATCATCAAAGTTTAACTTGATTTATAGAAAATAGTGAACATTGATATCTTAAAACAAATTTATGAAAAAACTAGAGTCAAATATCTATCTAATGATATTAATTATGTATCATTAATATTATTTTTATTTATATTTAGTTAAAGTTATTTCTCGAGAGGTGAAAACGATATATATATTTAGAGACAGATGGAATATACGTACTCGAGTACTTATATACACGTGCACGCACGAACGCCCAACCGCTCTGGCAGCTCTGCGCTAGTCTGATTTACAGCCTGTTCGGCTGGGCCGGCTTGTTCATAGCTAGTTCGTGAAAAAGTACTGCTGACTGATTTATATGAGAGAAAAATACTATTCTGCCTGAAAGACACTGTTCATGTAAACAGTGCCCTCGTGAGTTGGCTGGCCAGCCAGCCATCCCAGCCGAACGGGCTGTTAAGGTGTGAATTGTTTGATGCAGGCGTGCAATGGATGGACCAATATATATAACTAGTAGAAAGCGCGCGCCCTTGCGCGCGTGGACGAAGAAAACGTGCCAGGGATAGAAGAAAGCACAAGCCCGTCATATTAGTTCGGAAAAGTTTGAAAATCCACATTTTTTTACAACTAATTTGTGCTAAACTAAACTAAGCTTGAAAAGTTTTATGAAACTATTAAAACAAATTATGTTTTTAGTTTTTTTTATGCACAACTCAAAATTTCCAATTCTGGGGTGTGACATCCAACAACATATTTTATAGGGAGGAGGGTCAGTCAAAAGCGATTAAAAAGGAGAAATAGCAGAGTATCAGAAAAAAAATGTTTTCAAAAGGCTTTGAACAAATTAATCGCAGGAACTACCATATCATCATGTGTTACAATGGGATTACATGAAGAAACAAAATGGATTATCTCTTTTAGAAGCCTAAAATATTGTCTAAATATATGGACATCTTTTCTTTTGAGATAATCATGACAGCAAAATGTAATACGTGGATGCATGAGCAGGCTTCAATCTGTAGACACAGTAATGTATCAAGCTGCTAGCTATAACCATCCTAAGTAATAGATAGAGCTGGTCGAGTTACTGTATTTGAATAAACAAATAGACTGCAATTCAAGCAATAGAAAATACAGTATTGAAGGGGGAAAAATCAGTACGCTGTAAGCCAGTAGGAACACAATTTCTATGTCGCTGCAAAGTAACTACAAATAAGGGAATGGGGTCGTAAGCTTCAACATGAATCTGCTGAAAATGGAAAACACATGGCGTAATGTACTTCTATCAAGTTTAGAGGCCGTTAACTAATTTAGTTAAGAGTTGAAGAAGAAGGTACACGACATGGAAACTCTGGCCCTCCTGCCTGGGAGCTCTTTACCTGGTTGTTTGTTTTCCCAGACCGTGCATGGTTGTGGGAGCTAAAGGGCCTCCATTGCCATGCCTCACCCTCAACGCTGCTGCAACCAATGACACCAGAAATCCCTTCAATTCACAGATAATGGCCAAACATAAAAGGATAATGGGGAAAGATATAAATCAATCCACAGATATGACCTCTTTTAGAAGCCTAAAACATTGTGTGAAAATAAGGACATCATCTTTTCTTTTGAGGTAATCATGACAGCAAAATCCAATATGTGGATGCATGAGCATGATTCAGTTTGTAGGCAGTTATTCTTAAATTTTTGGGCATTAGAATTAATGAAATATTTTTGACATCACCTGGGCAGCTGAAACAAGGCACCTAAATCAAAATTGTTGCTGCCACAAAAATATTCTTCTTTGAATGGTGAGTTCAGGTAATTAAAATCCTACTTCTCTGAATGGCGTACACCATTCAAAGAACAATAATATTCCATCTTTGCAAAATATGAGCATTCATATCCAAAAAGAATAGATAAGTTCTGAAATTGTTGAGCTAACCATTTTCAAAATAAGAATAATGTATGCCTTAGCCTATGAGGTTCTATATATATAGATTGAATCCACCACATGGTTGTGCACAACATTTCCAAATAATCAAAATCTATTTTAATGATTTCAGCTAGTTTCATTTTGAGGGGCAGACAGACCGTAACTCATTGTAGTAGGGGGAAAAGCACTAAAGCACTAAATAAATAGGTAGCAACAAAATGTGTAGGCATGCCGATCAAACGTCATTTTTGCTGCAGCGATAGGACAGGTGCTAGATCACATCCATGAGCACAAAATCGATGCACAGATGCATACATTCAATAGCAATTAGATGAACTGGAGCCCCACCTAGTCAAGCGAACCCCTCTTCAATAGCAGAGAGGACCCCAAGAGGATTCCATGCGGCGACTGCAGTTCCATGTCCAGCGTCTGCACGCGCTGCACCACCGTGGCTGTACTTCTGTCGCAGTCTACACAGTTGCACATATGCTAAGTGGTCATCATTATAAACCCTGCAGTAAAAGTAATCTAAAAAGGAGAATGACAGTAGGCATGAACAGAGCTTACAAAGACAATAATGATTTGGCAGGGAAGGAAGCTGGTATATTCACAAAGAGAAAACAAAAACTATTTGATTGCCTTGCTTAACCAAAACACCTGATGTGGTATTGCGAAACTGAAGGACATTTTAGTAGTCAATCTGAATACTCCACATGAGCACAATTAGGAGAGATGGAGAGGAAATCGTAAGAAATATTGTGAGCTGTACCCTGAGGAGCATAGGAAGCACCATGATGGCAATCTTCACACACCATTGCTGCAATAGATAGGGCTAAGGTCAATAGAATTGAAATCAGCAGCAGCAATATACATCTAAGCAGATACTACGAACCTGGAACTAATCAATGCACCACAGGATCGATTCCCTGGTGCAGCCGCCGCGTGCAGCCAGAGCAGGAAGCCCCGGCACCGCGAGGAACCTCCACGCGCTCTGGGATAGGGGGAGTCGGCAGGGAGAAGGAGAGGGAGAGGGAGAGAGAGAGAGTGAGAGTGAGAGGAAGAGGTAGGCACCTAGGGTTTCATGGACCACAGGAGAAGACGTCCGGCGGGACGATGCCGCATCGGGGGCAGCCGCGCCAGCGACCACCGTCAGGGGCTGCTCGGGCGCGTCGTGGCCGGATACGGCAGCCGCTGGGGCCCCCGCAGCGGGGGGCGGCCACCCTCTGCACGGGCGCAGCACCCGGCGGGGGTCGCCATCACTGTGCCCCTGCGGCGCGAGGGGGGAGGAGCGTGGAGGAGGAGGAGGAGGAAAGAGCATAATCCAGAAACTTCAGCTTTGAGCAGTTCAAAATCAGAACTCATGAGGCTGAAAAGAAAAAAACGGGTCTCATATAAATAGATGGAGCATGCATGGTAAGTTTTGAATAGACAACAATAGGCACAGTGAAATTTAAAAAACATGTGAACAATGTCAACACAAATATCTTTCATAAAAAACCTTCAGATGGCAACAATCTGGGTAGAGAGGACTGTATCCTTTCTCTCATTACCACATATGCTTACAATAAGTATGCAGAGGACACCTATTAACTGTTTTTGTGGAGAACTTACATTTAATAGTTGGCAATTCTTCAATACCCATGGCCTCAAGATATAACCAGAAAATGTCACGCTATCTCGCTGTTGAGCACAGTCTGCACGGGGAAAAAAGAACAGGTAAGGCATTGAGATTATGTTGAAATTGACACCAATCAATAGGGAAACAGTTACCGTGTTATGCTTTATTTCGAACGCATAAATTATGGTTTATCATCCAAAAATAGGCAAATGATTATAAAAGAGCACTGACCCGACCATATAGAAATAAGGTTGGAAATAGGACTTTTGAAAAAGAAGGCCTGCATGTAGCAGATGGTATAGCCAATAGCCAAAAAAAAAGTGCGAGCCGAACCTCCAGCAACCACCCCCAAATTTCATTTCGCTAAACATCAAATCACTTTGGGTGCGCAAATATAAATGAGCTATCCAGTTTTTTGGTATAAACCTAGAATCTTTTTTATCTAAAAATAGCCAAACACAAATTAACTCATCTAGATTTGTAATACAACATTACAGGCAGTTCATGGACGAATCTATGACCACAAAAAAATCATGTAAGCAATAACTGTGAAGCTATTCTGGACTACATCTTACATGTCTGCTAGATGGAAGGGACCTGCAACAATTTTTATCTAAAAATAGACAAACACAAATTAATCCATCTAGATTTGCAATACAACACTACAGGTACTTCATGGAGTAATCTATGACCAAAAAAATGACGTGAGAAGTAACTGTGAAGCTATTGTTGACTACGTTTACATGTCTGCTAGATGAAAGGGCACAATAATTGGCTGTTGTGAAGATCAAGCCACACCAAGCAGGCCACACCCCAAAAAAATTATAGTGACCATGTAGATGGGTAAGAGAAAAGGGGGCAACAATAGATCTAGGGTGAAACTGGCCTTGCCTTGTTCTTTTGCCTCCTTTCACCACGATTAACCTCCTCAAAATCTCACATCCTGTGAAAAACTATGCAAGGGAGCAATGTCATATGCAGGAAAAAATTACAGACAATGGTTCTATTGTTGGCTTTCCTCCCATTATTTCTCCATCATTGATGTCGAAACCAAGAATATTTTATGGGTCCAGACCTATTGGCTGTACCATGGAGAGAAGGAAATTTAGAATGGAAAGAGCATAATCCAGAAACTTCAGCTTTGAGCAGTTTAAAATCAGAACTCATAAGGCTGAAAAGAAAAAACGGGTCTCATATAAATAGATGGAGCATGCATGGTAAGTTTTGAATAGACAACAATAGGCACAGCGAAATTTAAAAAACATGTGAACAATGTCAACACAAATATCTTTCATAAAAAACCTTCAGATGGCAACAATCTGGGTAGAGAGGACTGTATCCTTTCTCTCATTACCACATATGCTTACAATAAGTATGCAGAGGACACCTATTAACTGTTTTTGTGGAGAACTTATATTTAATAGTTGCCAATTCTTCAATACCCATGGCCTCAAGATATAACCAGAAAATGTCACGCTATCTCGCCGTTGAGCACAGTCTGCACGGGGAAAAAAAAACAGGTAAGGCATTGAGATTATGTTGAAATTGACACCAATCAATAGGGAAACAGTTACCGTGTTATGCTTTATTTCGAATGCATAAATTATGGTTTATCATCCAAAAATAAGCAAATGGTTATAAAAGAGCACATACCTGACCATATAGAAATAAGGTTGGAAATGGGACTTTTGAAAAAGAAGGCATGCATGTAGCAGATGGTATAGCCAATAGCCAAAAAAAAAGTGCGAGCCGAACCTCCAGCAACCACCCCCAAATTTCATTTCGCTAAACATCAAATCACTTTGGGTGCGCAAATATAAATGAGCTATCCAGTTTTTTGGTATAAAGCTAGAATCATTTTTATCTAAAAATAGCCAAACACAAATTAACTCATCTAGATTTGTAATACAACATTACAGGCAGTTCATGGACGAATCTATGACCACAAAAAAATCATGTAAGCAATAACTGTGAAGCTATTCTGGACTACATCTTACATGTCTGCTAGATGGAAGGGACCTGCAACAATTTCTATCTAAAAATAGACAAACACAACTTAACCCATCTAGATTTGCAATACAACACTACATGTACTTCATGGAGTAATCTATGACCCAAAAAATGACGTGAGAAATAACTGTGAAGCTATTGTGGACTACATTTACATGTCTGCTAGATGAAAGGGCACAATAATTGGCTGTTGTGAAGATCAAGCCACACCAAGCAGGCCACACCCCAAAAAAATTATAGTGACCATGTAGATGGGTAAGAGAAAAGGGGGCAACAATAGATCTAGGGTGAAACTGACCTTGCCTTGTTCTTTTGCCTCCTTTCACCACGATTAGCCTCCTCAAAATCTCACATCCTGTGAAAAACTATGCAAGGGAGCAATGTCATATGCAGGAAAAATTCACAGACAATGGTTCTTGGTGCACGCATATGCAGTATGTCGCCTGAGGGCATCCACCGTTGGAACCCGCGGTGCCGGCGCGGTACCTGACGAGGTTCGCCGTCGCGCCGCCCATGCTGGGGAGGTGGAGGGGGAGTCCAGCGCCCGCGCCATGGGGATGCCATGGCCAGGGCCTACTCGCGCCCGCTTCGATGCGCCGCGCCGCGTCGCTAGCGGCGCCGGCGGGGGTGTCCGCGGCCGCGCCGGGGCGCCGCGCCGCCTGGCCGGCGTACGGAGCGGGGGCGCCGCGGCCATGGCCGGGCATGGGGAAGGAGGGGGCGCCCGCGGCTGCGCCGTTTTGGCACCGCACGGGGGTGGCCATGGCGAGGAGAGGCCCTGTCACGCCCGCACCGCCGCCGCCACCGCCCGCGCCGTTCCAGGAGAGAGAAGGGGAAAGGGGAAAGTAGAGACGGAGGAAAGGGAGGAGAGTCGGCCCTTTTTTAACGGTTTCGGCATTTTTTTAGGCAGGCAAGATGTTTCCGGAGACCGAGGCGAAGATATTTTTAGAGGTGCAGTAAAATCTGGTGGGATCAGCCTCCACCGTTGATCTCAGAATCAAACGGTCAGATGATATTGGGGTGACGTGGACGGTCTGGTCGCTCGGGAACCTCTTCCGGCTTGTCTAGGTAAAATGGTGCCTGGCCACACAGCCAAACACGTACCCGGGCTAGAGTGTGCTGCAGCCCAGGTCCAGCCCACGTAACGTCTTGTGTATACAATGTGTTTTCATTAGTCCGGTAATAAGAATCAGCCCAGTTTAAATGGTAAAGACTTCTATAAAGGTACTATATCAAACCTACTATTGGATATCCAGTTGAGGTCCCTTTTAGAACGTAGGAATTTCACAAGAATTGTACTGGGGTTTTACAGAAACCAGTTTATTTTCAAAAGGAAGAACGCATGAAACGGACAAAAATCCCACAACCCAAAGGGCCCTGATTCATCGTGTTTGCTTTTGTGCGGCAGGTACTACGAGCTATTTGCTTTACAGCCTCCCAAGCAAAAAGCACCTTTAGGCACGGCCCCAACCGTCCAAAATGGGACGTTTGTTAGAGCTCGTACCACGGACAGCTCTGCCAGAAACATAAGCAAACAGGGCCATAGTGTTTGGCTGGCGAATAATCCTAGTCCCAGGCGGCTAAAATCGGACACATGTGAGCACTACCTTACCGGGGCAGCTTCGAGCCTTCGACCGGGAGCATACCAAATAGGCCCTCAGTGCTGCCGCAGCCTACAGTTGTAGAGACCTACACAAGTCCACGCACATCCATCCAACGATATATGAGATAGAGAAAAGAGGTTGTAGGCCACCATCCGTCGTTGTCTCAGAAAGGTGAGCACAGAGCGAGAAAAGTAACCAAACAACTTGTCGAGATCAACACTCGTGATTGATCAATCTGTCGTTAAACACTCTATCGCCCACAAACCTCTCACTTCAGGTCTTCTTTTTGGCATAACTGCCTGCATCTGGTATTTACTTGATATTATAAATATTGATATTTTTTATCTATAATTGATTAAATTTAAAATACTAAACATGATACTATACTAAAATTGTATTTTTTTTCTAGAACGGAGGAAGTATATTTAGATTTTAGGCCCAGCTTTGACTTTATTTAATTGTATTTATATCCATTTCAATCTACTGTCTAAGCCAAGGACAGGCCACGCGCACGCACAGGCCCCTGGCCACCTGGCGCCCTGGCCCTGGGCGTGCCGACGCGATGCGTCGTAGCGCGGTGGCTAGCGCTGCTGCGGCTGCCGCAGTGCATCGGTCCGCTCGGCAGCCGACTGCCGTGGAAAGATAAGGCACTGTTCACTTTGCTAAAAAGCATGGCTCCTGTTCGCTGATTTGCTATGAGAAAAAAATACAGTTCGTTCGCTGAAATAGTACAGCTCATCAAGCAAACGAATATACCAAAGGAAGTTGGCACGGGTCAGAACTCAGAACAGTAGCAGCCATCGAGAAAGAACATAAATAAATTTCTACTCTTGTGCTACAAGGCTTGCAAAGGTTATTTTAGTCTTTAGAGGTAGCGGAGAAGCTTCACGGTGCCTTTTTTTCCATGGAAAGTGAAGGAGGAACTATGGCTCTGTTCGCTTGAGCTTATAAGCCAGAATAAACCTGATGTCCCTGTATCAAAAAAAAAACCTAACATCCCCAAAATTACATATACCAATATCTAAAATAAAAAGAACCAATATTCTATTCAAAATTTTCTATTACCTTTTTTCCTATTGCCTTTGCCCGACGTAGAATAGAGCTTTGTTGAACACGATACTAAAGTGCAGTTATTACGCTACATCCAACTATCATCTGCAAAACATTGGACATGCTGCGCCGCAAGATCCAACATTCCGTAATCAATTCAAAAAACATCTGAAACAATTAAAGAACATTAGCCGATACAACATAAGCTGAAGGTTGATCACCTCCCACCCTTGATTTATCATGCATGCCTAATTTTCTCTATGTGACCATTGACAATGAAAATCGATGTCCAAGAGTTACTTTCCTCATGGGGAGTGCCTATGAAAGAAACTAGTAGTTTCTATAACATAGTATACCGCACCAAAAAAGTACTGCTTTTCAACCCATGGTTTCTATGAGTAATAATTATTTTCTCTTTCTCTCTCCCAACTCTATCTTCTTCCTCCAATGGGAGTGCGGCACGAGCCCCCTAGAAACTGGTGGTTTCTCCCCAATGGCGATTTCATGGTTTCTTGGTGCATTGGGTCAAGAGAAGACTTGATTTCTTCACGAGAAAACCATTTCTAGGATTTTTGCTCTCTTTCTTCATTAATTATGTTGCCATGTCAGCGTTTTGCCTACGTGGCAAGTTATTTAATGATGATAGAAACCATCATCAATACACCGTTGGGACTGCCCTAAGAGCATCCTTTCCCTTGCAAATAATGGCACAAATTGGTCTCCTGCCGGTGAAGCCGACGTTTGCAACGGCATCTTCGTCGTGGCAAAGGTTACGACGTCCTGACCGAAAATAAGTTTTCAGGTGATCTGATCGTCACGACTATGAAGTAGATTGATGTCCCAAAGGAGATTCTAGAGTTGCTTGGATGAACTCGGATAGATGGGTTTCGTTGATGCCGCTCTGGAAGTTTAAGTCTCTTATCCAGCTGTTGTTGTTTGAGGGCATCAGTCACCGTGCTTCACTTTGCTTCCATAAATTTGAATAGGTTTGGTGTTGAGTCTTTGAGTCTCTTATTATCCGGTTATTGTTATTGGGGTCATCAGTCACCGTTCTTCACCTTGCTTTCATAAATTTGAATAGGTCTGGTGTTAAGTCTTTCGGTTTTGCTAGTAAAAAAAAGTCTTTCGGTTTGTTGCCTTTTGATGGCTAGAGCTGGGACCTGTGAACCGTGCCATTTGACTGCGGGTCATGGCACAGTCTTTTTGATGTCCCGAAGCGCGGCACGACATGAAATATTTTGGACCATGCCGGCACGACACGAACGCGAAGGTCGTGTCTAGGATCTCGGTATAGCGGGCTACAAGGCATGGCCCGTATTTTGGGCTGTGCATGGGCCGGCACGATATAAAAATGACACGCAGACACATCTACAACTTTACAATGCAATTCTCTAGCACTTACTATACTACTCTTCTAATTCTTGAATAGATTATGGAAATCGTTAAAACTTTCACGGGTCATGCTTGGCCCGAAGAAAAGATTTACCATACCATATCGGCACGGCCTGATGTGTCTAGATGGCACCGTGGGGCCCAAGTGCCAAAAGCCTTTGACCTACCGCGTGGCCATCCAAGTTCTCACCACCAAAATGGTGAGGTTCTCCGAGTGTTTTAAGTAGTAATAAGAACACTACATGTTTCCTAGCACATGAGAATTCTTTCTGGAAGGCATTTGGTGATGAAAGCGCATACGAAATGTTAAATGCTAACTATGACAACCCCATGTCACTAGGAGAACCTGTAGATTCTAGTTGTGTCTTCATTGAATATATATATTATTTTTGTCTTGGTGGACTTTGTTTTTCTATAAAACTCAACTTCCACAGAAATTCTTCGTTCCTTGGCCCCTCTTGTTAATTTTTTTATCATACAATTCTCTTGTAACATTCGTAGTTTTCATTTTTTGCCCTAAAATATGCTAAATCCAACACAAATTACACTGCTCATGTCTGATGAAGGTCATGTTCACTCATGTAGCCGCCAACATCAATTGCCGCTTACAGATCCTTTCCAAACACATTCTAGAATCATCACCATTGGTCAGTGTGCTGCTACTACTCCGCCCACCGATCATGACCATGCTATCACCATGTTGGTTTCAGCTAGTGAAGCTTGTTTGGCTGGCCGGCTCTAGCTGGATGGCGTCTTTTTTTTTTCAGCCGGAACGATGTTTTTCTCCCACTATTTTCTAGCTGCTACAGTTTTTTTTTTTTTTCAAATTGCTACACGGCTGGCATTAAAAACGACACTGTAGCAGCTGGATTTTGTTGCTCTCTTGGATGTAATCCAACTTTCCACGGGGAAAGCGGACACTTTGTTGCTCTTGTATCTTTTTATTTCTTGTCGAATGCGCAAGAGCGCTGCGTATCATTTGTATTAAGAAGAAGGATTTTATAGCACAAGTGGCCTGAGCCAGCCTGGCTTTGCGCTAAGGATTACATTTTTGAAGAAAAACAGCCGCAGCTCTTGACACCGATTGCACTAGCCTTGCTGCTGCGCTCTCAGGCTCGCCATTCCTGCTGCACCCGCCCGCATCCATCTGTCGGATGATCGGGGTGAGCTCAATCGGTTGCAGCGTCGCGCGTTCCTTTGCTTCCAAACCTCCCAGGAAACCAGCGCGAACAACGAGTCCATGCCGGAGCGCTGGGTGCCGGTCCAATCAAGAGCGCAGTCGGCGCCACCAGTCGATGATTGTTGCTGAACCTTGCGGGAGCTGACGACCGAAGGCTTGGTAGATTAGGCTCCATACTCCCCTGGTATATGGGCATGTGACCACTACGTACGTGATCGATGGTTTCCGGCGCTTGATCACAGAGAGAGCAATGCTCCCTCGCTTCCAGTCCGTGGCGTCTGCGGCGATCCCCCGTCCAGTGTCTTCGACGGAACGCCAACCACAGTCTGTTGCTCTTGTATCTGGCAAAGCTTTTTTTTTCATCGTACCTCTTCTTGTGGATCTATATTTGTCCTTTTTTCTCACTAAAATCATTGTTAAATTCATCAGAAAAATGCACTGCTTTTGTTTACCGAAGTCATTGCTGCCTCAGGTAGTCGGTCGACACCTATAGGCACCTCCACTACGGGTAACAGGGACTTTGTCGAATGCAAACTGTTTTGCCGAGTGTCAAAAATCGGACACTCGGCAAAGAATTGTACTTGGCAAAGAATTCTTTGCCGAGTGCTGGGCACTCGGTAAAAAAGGGCACTCGGCAAAAGATTTCTTTGCCGAGTATCAGGCTTTCGGCAAAAGCACGGCACTCGACATAGGTTGCCCCACATAACGGTGTTCGACCACATCCTTCTTTGCCGAGTGTCTGCTGTTAGACACTATTTTTTTTTTGAAAAATACTTTGCCGAGTGCTCCTGACACGGCGCTCGGCAAAGATTCAATATATTTTTTTAAAATATCTTTGCCGAGTGCCTAACAGCTTCGACACTCGGCAAAGGAAGGAATTAAAAAAATTACATTTTTTTAAATACCTTTGCCGAATGCCCCTGTGAAGGCACTCGGCAAAGAGGAAATATCTATTTTTTTTCAAAAATCCTCTTTGTCGAGCGCCTTATTCTTGGTACTCGGCAAAGACCCCCTTTGCCGAGTGCTATGCCCCGGCGCTCGGTAAAGTTTTTTTTTTGTTTTTGACCTCTAAATTTTTTGTGCAACCCTTTTAAAGTACCAGGAACTCCTCGTTAGAATTTGGGGATTTTTTGTGACTTTTTGATATATTTAGTTACTTTATTTTGTTTACTTGAATTTTTTCGAAAAATATAAATTTGAACTGCACGTGGTACGAATAATGGAATTTAATGATTTAAAAAATTATAGTCATGTTATTGAGTGTAGTGTGAGGCCATATCCAGGAACGGACCCGAAATTTCGGACATATTGTTCACGAAACATGGCCGCGAACTTGCGTGCAAAGTGTTTTTAAATTCTATAAAAAGTAAATGAAGTCCAAAAATCATTAAACTTGTTGAGATATCGTGATATCGTATGTGGAGGCTATATTAAAAATTTCAAAAGATTTTTGTATATATTGTCACGTACGATACTTACATATGACATCTCTACATGTGACGGGCTCTGCTCCACTCTAGCCGCTGCAGCCTAGTCGGAGTACTAGAGGTGAGGACGGAGACAAATCCACCACGTCCATCCAACGAGACCAGATACAGAGACGGGTAGCAGGCCGCCATCCGGAAAGGAAAGGCGAGCAGGGCCGGAGGCCGGAAGTAAGCAAGCAAGCAAGCAACCAACCAGACATGGGGTCGTTCAAGGGCCACGTGCTCCCGGGCACCCTGTTCCTGCTGGTGGGGCTATGGCGGGTCTGGTCCTCGGCAGCGCGCCACGCCGCGTCGCCCTCGACGTTCCGCGTCCGCGCCTGGAACCCCGTCCCGTCGTCCTCGCCGCTGCGGCTGCGGCTGCTGGAGCTCTACGTGATCGCCGGCGGCGCGTTCGCGGACATGTGCGTGGAGGTGCTCTACTCCACGCACCTCCGGATCTTCGTCGACGGCGGGGAGGTCAACCCGGCGCACCTCAACGACCTCGAGCACGGCGGGATGCTCCTCATGTTCTTCCTCTTCGGCGCCCTCGCGCTCGCCTCCCAGCTCTGGCCCAGGTCAGTCCCAGTCGTCGTCGTCGGTCACCGCCCTCCTCTGACCATGTTTCTGTTTCACATGCTACATGGGGATGAGCAAAGTTTAGTCAGTACTAGTAAAACTTTGGATGCTTCTAAAAGCAAGAATAGGATTTGTTGGGTTCACTATGAACACGATGATGAAAAATAAGAAGAAGAAGGGGCAGTAGCATTTACTAGTAGCTAACTGCCACACGGGCGTCGTACATCGATCGGTACATGGGGATTTTTTATGCCGGCATTGTTATTACCACCATGATTTGGTTGGTTGGTTGGATTAGTTGGGAGGCGGGGCGTACGAATCTTCTTCCTTGCGGCGGATGGTTTTTGACTATCACAGCGTCCGTATCTGGATTCTTGACGGGCCCACTCCGCATCAGCCATGTGGTCCATCCAGCTCACAAGAGCTGCTGGTCCAACTTGCCTGATGCGGTGATGCCTACTTGCAAATCCATCCACGACCTTTTGAGAATTGCTAGTAGTGATGTTCCAGTGAAAGAAATCAATGTTTTGGCGAAAGGAATTTCGTGGCGCCGTTGCTTTTTGAATGCACATAGCCACTCTGACTTTGCAGTCCAAAAAAATGAACACAAAAAAAAAGTTTAGGTTTACTGTTAGTACTCCTAGCTAACAGCTACAGCTACAGTGAATAGACTCTCCATTCTTCACTACTTTTAGGTAGGCTCACATCACAGCAGAATCTAACCGGTCCTATGAGTCAATGATGAATGAAAAGCTTTTGGTATCTGACGTTACATGGTTGAGCCGGACAGAAAGATTCTTATTTCACCTACACTGTGTTACTGGCTTATTGCTCGACACCACCGATGAAGGCTAATAAGGTGATTCATATAGACTAAAAAAATATTGGGACTTCATTCACACAATATAAACTATTATTACTAGTGGTTTGTAAAGAAACTTTTTTCTTTTATCATACCTCACTTTTATTTACCTTCCTCTTCTTTTTTAGCATGGACCATCTTCTCTCTTCCCCAGCATAGCTTCTGCAAGCCCCTGGAGAATTTACCTTTTTTTATCCGATTTTATATGGCACTCGAGGCTACTGATAAAAGTAGTACAGCAGCAAGTGCAGTCTGAGTCTGTTTTGCAGTTGAGTGCTGTTGGGGGCCCCAGATTGATCTCAACCGAACCAACAAGTCCCTGCGCAGCTTTTGTTTATCCTGCAATCATATTGCCCTTTTGTTTCATCTTGACATCTTGGAATCTTTGTCCTGCCAGGGCAGCAACCATTTGTTAGGCCTTGTTTAGATGAGTGTTAGGAATTAGTATTCGATACTGTAGCACTTTCGTTTGTATTTGACAATTATTATCCAATCATGATCTAACTAGGCTTAAAAGATTCGTCTCGTAATTTACAATCAAACTGTATAATTAGTTATTTTTTTATCTACATTTAATACTCAATGTATGTGTCCAAAGATTTGATGTGATGAAGAGAGAGTGAAAAAACTTAGAATCTAAACAAGGCCTTAGTTAACAAGAGGGGGCCATGTTTTGAAGTAGTAGTACGACGCAGCAATCATGCACTCGTACCCCATTGCGCAGCAATCATGAGTTCATGACCCGATCAATAGTTTTGAGTGCAAGGAACAATCAGCCTATTCGTTTGTTGGTTTCAGCCAGGATTTATCAGTCAGCAAATAATGTTTTTCTCTCACAACAAACCAGCACCAGTTGAGCTTATCAGCTCAGAAACCAACCAGCGAGCACGCTCAATTTTTGAGATCCTAATGGTCTACTGAGGCTTATTTATTACTTACTGTTTTTTTTGTGTGTGTCATTGATTCATATCTTCAGAAGATAGTAAATCACCGGTCCGAATTCATGTTTTCCCTCCCTATACTTTTAATTGTTTCTTCAGTAGTTTTACGAGACCAGTAAAGCTGATAACTTTCATTTGCTTGCAACGGCGACCAACACACACACACGACACAGGTACTTCCCGCTGACGGACGGCGCGCTCTGCCTCGTGGCGGCGACGGCGTTCACGGCGGAGTTGGTGCTCTTCTACTTCCACTCCACGACGCACATGGGGCTAGAGGGCTACTACCACTACCTCCTCGTCGTCCTCGTGGCGCTCTGCGTCGCCGCCACCGTCCAGGGGGCGCTCCTGCCGGAGAGCTTCCCCGTGGACCTCGCCTCTGGCGTGCTCATCGCGCTGCAGGGGCTCTGGTTCTACCAGACGGCGTTCACGCTCTACGGGCCCATGCTTCCCGCCGGGTGCGCCCGCGACGCCGACGGCCACATCGAGTGCCGCGCGCGCGCGCGCGCCGCGCAGGAGCGCGCCGAGCAGCTCGCTAACTTCCAGTTTTTCGGGCTTGTGTTCCTCGCGTTCTGTTATGTGCTTGGGTGCTATGCCGTTGCTGCGGCCAGGTATGGCCACCCGGAGCTCGCCGCGATGCATGACAGGCACGTCGCGGCGATGGAGTGCCTGGGTGGAGACGGCGGTGAGCGCCGGGAGGAGTGCGCGATCTAGTTGCTAATGGTGCTGCTCTGGACCTGGTTCTTGGATTTGATATAGCTGTATAGCAAATTCAGAGTACATGCATGATCAGAGGTAGCTTGGCCATTCAGAGTTTTCAGACTTTCGGTATCAGGGCAGGGAGTGTTACCAAAGCTTTTTTTCTCATCAAATTTATACATGGTTTCACGAGTTGCTTATGCTGTAACTGCTACTGATTTTAGATCAGCGATTTATAGAAAGGGAGGAATACTTGTTAGCGCAATGGTGTTCTTGCAAATTGTGTCGTAGATGACCCAATAATGTTTGTTTCATTCATTCATGGAGCGATTACAGAAACCAAATTGTGTTATGCCTCTCCTTTCATACATCAATCACTACCGGAAACCGACACTTTGCCGAGTGCCGGAAGCTTTGCCGAGTGTATTTTATCGGACACTCGGTAAAGACGGCTTTGCCAAGTGTTTTTTTTTCGGTACTCGGCAAAGATGTATTTTACCGAGTGCCATTTTTTGGCACTCGGCAAAATGCGTCTTTGCCGAGTGCCTTTTTTTTTTGCACTCGGCAAAGAGGCATTTTGCCGAGTGCCATTTTTTGGCACTCGGCAAAATGCGTCTTTGCCGAGTGCCTTTTTTTGGCACTCGGCAAAGAGGCATTTTGCCGTGTGTATTTTTTTTTTGCCCTCGGCAAATCATTTTTTCAAAGCAATTTTTGAGGCCCTAAATGAATTCAAATGAAAAACTTTTCAACTACAAAGTTGAACTTCTCAAGATCTACAAAGTTTATTTTGGTTATTTCTTAATTTGACAAAGCGACAATAACGTTGTTCATAAAATCTATATCTCTCATATTAGTTTCATGAAAGTAGAAGAGAGATATATAAGATTTGTGAACAATGTTACTACCACTATGTTGGATGAACAAACGACTAAAATAAACTTTGTAGATCTTAAGAAGTTATGAAATTTTGTAGTTGGCAATATTTTGATTTGAAATCATCTTGTCATGCAAAAACGACGTTTGAATTTGAAAATTTGAAAATTTGAAATTTTCAAAAGACCTCGGATGGAAAAACTTCCTAAATGAAAATTGTAGATCTCCAAAAGTTATGAAACTATGTAGTTGACAACTTTTTGATTTGAAATAATCTTATCATGCAAAACTACGTTTGAATCTCTCAAATTTGAAATTCGAATTTTTCAAACGACCTCGGATGGAAAAACTTTCTAAATGAAAATTGTAGATCTCGAAAAGTTATGAAACTTCGTAGTTGACCACTTTTTGATTTGAATTCGTTTAGGGCCTCAAACAAGCAATTTACTCTCAGTTTAGTATAATATACGAGGATAGATAACGAAATCTAGACACAAGTGACAGTGTAGTGCAGTGGTATAGTAGCAGACACGCGAGTGAGAGGTCGTGAGTTTGAATCCCGCTGGCCGCGTTAGCCGTGAATTTTGCTGCAAAAAATGCAGCGACTTCGCTGGCCGGTGGCGGCCTCCCCCGAAAAAATAATTTTGTTATTATTTTTGGTTTTTTTTCGTATTTTCATTTTGCCGAGTGTAAATCTTTACCGAGTGCTTTTCCGGCACTCGGCAAATGCCCGATAAAAAGCACTCGGCAAAGGCTTCTTTGCCGATTAATTTTTTATCGAGTGCCCTTTGTCGAGTGCGGCACTCGGGAAAGCCTTTGCCGAGTGTATTTCGGGCTTTGCCGAGTGCCGTGCCGGTTTCCAGTAGTAAATCGAGGGCCGCGTTGTCTTCCATTCTTCCACGATAATCTACGGATTACTTGAGGATGTTGTAATCAGTCAAATTCTCCTTCTGCTTAATGAAATACGTGTCACGAGGACACGCTCTCAAAAAAAGTTATTACAAAAACCAAAGTTAATAAAATAACCAAATTAAACGAAGAAAAATGATTAAAGAAACCAAAATTATGATATCAGTAATGCTTTACACAGAGTGGAGGAGTCCTGTGAGCTGTTCTCATGTCGGCGTTCGCAATGTGAAAGCCGGACTGTCAGACCTGCAAAGCTGCAACAGCTACCTGTCAGAGTACCTGGCTACGTCCAGCGGGACATGCAATTTTTTTTAGATAAAGGAAGTCTTTGTATTAATTTTAAGATCAGAATACCGAGTTGATACAATGTAATCTTGAAATTGCTTCTCACCTATGCATATCTAGATTCAACGAGGTAAATTTTTTTTAAAAAAATTATAGACACACTTAGGCTTCTCAAAAAAATGGAGAAGCCAAAGAAAGCTATAATTCTATGGCTTTGTTTTTTTTTTGCTCCAAAACGGCTTTGGTTTCATTGTTCTTGGCTGTAGAAGCCCTTCTTATGTGTGCTCGTTTGATAGGGTTTTTAATTGAATCGGTAGAGAGGCTCCAACAAAAAGTCATGCCAAAGAGAGCCTAATAACTATCAATCCTTAGGATAAAGCGGACTAAGTATGCACACCTTTATTTTCTTGACATATAATACTAGGATATATGAGAAAGTCTAAAACATATAATTCACAGCTATCAAACCAAATCTTATTGAACAGAAAATTATCTAGGCTCCCCAAAACCCTTAAGTAACGAACTAAAGCCCCCGCGGTTGTTCAGCTAAAATGTAAGCGAAAATGGAATTTCTAGCTTACCTTCAAATACTGTTTAGCTAAGATGTTTGATGTGCCTGCGCATTGACAATCGTACAAGGGCACTAAAAGGGATTAGTAACCTAACATCCCATGAATAAACCAATATATGTGTTCAAAGTTGTCCACACAAAGTCTTACCTCTTAATTATTGTTTTTTAGTAAATGTTTGGTGGATATGTTTATATCTAGAAGCAAAATTGTGCAAGCCGCCATAGACATATAAGTAAACCTTTGCAGCCCATGAACTTAACAACACCAAGGTCATTAAATCAGCTGGACCCTATTAGTAACAATTTTGATGTTGGTAGCAACAAAGTACAAAACTTCTTGGCCAAAAAAATTATGATGATTATGAAGTTTAAATTATTATCGCATGAATAAATTAATGAAAATTTTGCGGAGGGACACCAAATTTGTGTGGAATTTGCAGCTAAACACGCTAGCTCACTTTTCAGCTAGGTAGCATTCACTACTAGAGAACAGACTTTAGAATGATGTCCCAATTTGACATTAGCCTCGGCATTTTTTGCCCCTCCTTTAGTCCCGGTTGGTAATACCAACCGGGACTAAAGGTTCCTGCCCAATGGTCGTCCGCGGGGTAGGGATCTTTAGTCCCGGCTGGTATTACCAACCGGGACTAAGGTTGGTAATACCAACCGGGACTAAAGCTTTTAGTCCCGGTTTGGGTGATGCCCCAGGAATAAAGATTAATCTTTAGTCCCGGTTTGGACCCCTAACCGGGACTAATCATCCCGGTCTATAATTCAGCTCATTTCTTCCTCCCCGAGCCCGAGCCATTCCATTCAAACTCACTGCCTCTGTTCTTCAGCTTGCTGTTGTTCTTGCTCTCTCCCCCTCCATTGGTGTTGCTCTTCGATTTTGGAGGTAACAAACTTAATCCTCTTATGTTTTATCAGTAGCTTATCTCATTTTGCGATGTAGATGCATGTGTAACTTTATATGTTGGACTTTATTATGATTTTATATGTCATTTTTAGCTCAAAATCACATGATGATTTGCATATATGTTTGGATAAACAAAAGTTAAATTAGTTCATCAAAATCACGCCTCGCTCGTCCTCGCTAGAGCACGCGCCATCCTCGTCCCCGGTGGCTTACGTGATCTTAGAATTAAATTTTCCATGAAATGAAAAACTTAGAAAATTGTTAGAAAATTGTAGAAAATCCGTACTAGTTGAACTTGCGGACCGTGTTCATCTCGGCGAGCATGTTCTCTGCTGAGCGGTAACAGACGTCAAGGAGGAGCTTTGATTCTACGAGGGAGAGCGGCAACGGTCGTGGAAGACCGTGTTCCCTTTCTCGTAGAATTGGAGCTCTTCCTTGCCGTCCGGTGGAGAAATGCTCGCCGAGATGATCACATAAGCAAGGTCAACTAGTACGGATGGTTATTTATTGAAACATGTTTTTGAGCTATAATTTGATGGATATTTGATAACTTCAGACCTACAAATGTCATCTACAAATGTTACTATCATCGGCAACCTAAACGCCCACGAGCTTGCCGATATCGAGCAGGTCACTTAGAATTATTTTTTCCATGAAATGAAATACTTAGAAATCATGCCTTTTATTTTTTAGAATTAAATTTTCCATGAAATGAAAAACTTAGAAAATAGTTAGAAAATTGTAGAAAATCCGTACTAGTTGAACTTGCGGACCGTGTTTAGGTCGGCGAGCATGTTCTCTGCCGAGCGGTAACGGACGTCAAGGAGGAGCTTTGATTCTACGAGGGAGAGCGGCAACGGTCGTGGAAGACCGTGTTCCCTTTCTCGTAGAATCGGAGCTCTTCCTTTGCCAAGTACGGTGCCGTCCGGTGGAGAAATGCTCGCCGAGTTGATCACGTAAGCAAGGTCAACTAGTACGGATGGTTATTTATTGAAACATGTTTTTGAGCTATAATTTGATGGATATTTGATAACTTCAGACCTATAAATGTCATCTACAAATGTTACTATCCTCGGCAACCTAAATGTCCATGAGCTCGCCGATATCGAGCAGGTCACTTAGAATTATTTTTTCCATGAAATGAACTACTTAGAAATCATGCCTTTTTTTTAGAATTAAATTTTCCATGAAATGAAAAACTTAGTAAATAGTTAGAAAATTATAGAAAATCTGTACTAGTTGAACTTGCGGACCGTGTTCAGCTCGGCCAACATGTTCTCTACCGAGCGGTAACGGACGTCAAGGAGGAACTTTGATTCTACGAGGGAGAGCGGCAACGGTCGTGGAAGACCATGTTTCCTTTCTCGTAGAATCGGAGCTCTTCCTTGGCCAAGTACGGTGCCGTCCGGTGGAGAAATGCTGGCCGAGATGATCACGTAAGCAAGGTCAACTAGTACGGAT